TGCTAAATCAAAAAGTTTAAAATTTTATACAAGTTATGATAGTTCATTAAATGATCTTGATTTTAACTCTTTTCTCTTAAATGCTGCTGAAGATGAATAAAAATTTTATTAATAATCAATTGGTAAATTATTAATATTTTTAAACATTCTAGCAAAAGAAAAGGGAATTGATGAATGGTTAATTTTAATTTCTTATAATAATAGAGTATTTCCTTTTTTATAGCTTTTAATTCTTGTTAAATGGTGTATTGCAAAGTATAGTGTGACCCTAAACTCTGAGTTTAGGGAAAACCCGAAACCAGAACCTCCCTAAATTAGTTTAAAATTCTAAACCCTTACCCGAAATCTAAACTCTTACCAAAACCCAAAACACAAAAAATCACCAAAACCAAAACCCTAACCCGATACTAATTTTATACCAAGACACAAACAAATTATTTTTATTTCCTAAACTATTTTACATTATTTTTTATGTCAAAATTAATTTGTTTTTATTGCAAAATATTACCAATTGATTTTATTTCAAGGATTTTTTTAGATGAATTTAAAATTTTAAAAATTTATTCTACAGTCAGACTCCTATATAGTCACATCCAATATAGTCACAACTCCTATATAGTCACATATTTTTTATTCCCTATATTAAAATTAATCATATATAGTCACTTTCATATTGTAATCACTATTACCAATATTTGACAGTTCCATAACATATTACAACATATAAACTTCATCATATATAATCACCAATTCATGTGACCATGTAAATACTATTGGCTAATTGAAAATTTTTGAATTTTAATAAATTGTTACCATTGGACATTGTAATTACCATTACCATTACCATTACCATTATCATTACCATTATTGTTGTTATTATCATTACTACCATTGTCATTATCATGTCTCAACCAAAAAAAAAACCAAAAATGGACAGTTATTAGTGAGCAATTGAAAAGAGAAATTACCAAGAAAACATTCAGAAAACTCATCAAAAAATTGCAAATTATTTTAGTGAAAAATTTCATTGAATATTGATAGGTCATCAGTAACAAAAATTTTACATGGTAAAGAAAAATGGCTAGATGCTTCATCTACAACCCATCATAATACTTTCTGTTGTAGACAAGTGAGGTTTCCTGAACTAGAAAAAAGCAATGAACATATGGATTGGACAAGTCAGTGCAAGTGGCCTAACCATTGTTGTTGTTTTTTTATATAATTATTATTATATTTTTTTATTTTTTATGCATATATCTATCTACTTGGGATGTTAAATAAAATAAAAGATTTATTATAATCACCAAATTTTTAAAATTACATAGTAAGTGATTATATAGGAAAAATCCTATATAGTCACATTCAGTTATAATCACCACTAATTCACATTCCTGACATTGTGATTATATAGGAGTCTGACTGTAATTTAATTGCTATATATTATTTTTTTTTTTTTTAAACTTATACTGCTAATGTTTTTTATTTTTTAAACTTTTTAATCTTTATAGTTTTTTTTAATTCTCTTCCTTAATGTAAATTTTTTCTTTGGTGCTTTTTTATATTTTTTTTCTTTTATCTTCATTTATTTCAATATCACCATCATCATCTGAACTTTCATCATTACTTTCATATAAATCAATGTTATTTTCAACCCTCCCTTCTATTAATATTACTAATTTTTTCACCACCATAATTAATTTCTTCAGAACTTTGAATTTTCATCATTATTATTTCCATTTGCAATTTCTGTCTTCATTATCAAAACCTAAACTATGTGAATCATAATCCAAATTTTCCTCATCAGTATCACATTCATAATTAATTATTTTTTTTTTCTTTTTGGAGTATTAATATTATTTTCACACATCACATTAAAAAAAATTGGAAACCAAATCATTGGGGTTATATTCACAATTTTCATTATGTTGTAAATTCCAGGGCTGGCTGCGTAACTCAAATGAGCACTTGGCTAAATTGACTAAACTATATAGTCATATGTTAAGTCAAGTTTAGTCAAGTTTATTCAAGATGATTATTACTAAATTAGGTTTTTAACACCTTTACGCTACCAACCCTGGTAAATTCCTTTACACTTATATCAATTTCATTTTTGTTACTACCTTCATAATTAAATAAAGAATCATTTAAATCTATGTAGTCTTCTATTAGAAAATCAATATCTCTATTATGGTTATCATAATATTCATAATTGTCAGGATCAATATCTGATCCTGTATCAATGGATTCACTATTACTTTCATTGCCCTGAACCAGTGTTGTGACCCGAAACTCTGAGTTTAGGGAAGACCCGAAACAGAAACTAACAGAAACCACCTGAAACTAGTTTAGGTTAGTAGTTTTAGTTTTAGTTTTAGTTTTAGTTTTCTGCTTAGTGTAAGTTCATTTTCGGAAGCCAAAAGAGTTTCTGGTCACAACACTCCCTGAACACAAATAGAAATATAAATTGAGTTACATTTCTCAAATTCAAATAAATAATAAGCGGAACTATTGATTTGAATTTTGAAGGTAGTTAGGTTTTGGATATGGATTTAAGTTTTGGGTAAGGTTTAAATTTCGGATATGGGTTTAGGTTTTTGGTAAGGTTTAGGTTTTGTAACCCGAAACCTAAACTAGACAGTTTACCGAAACTGTTTTGGGAAGCCAAAAGGGTTTAGGGCCACAACATTGATTGCAAGGCAACCTTTTAATTATTTAACATGTATGGCTTAACTTTTGGGCTATTCTTGTCAGTTAATTGCAAATGATTTGTTGTTTGTCAATTATAACGATATTAACGTGTCTTTGGTGCCTGAGTCTGTAATGAGATTTACCAGTCAATATTGGTATGTAGAATGACTTTAGATAGTATGTTGGACATGCTTTTTTAAGTTTGAAATTTGAAGTGTTAAAAAGTGCTAAAATCCTATCGCGATAAATCAAATGCTAGAGTTTGATGATGTTGAATTTTTTTTGATGTTGAAGTTGTTCTTGCAATTTTTTTTTTCATTTATATATTAATAATTTATTTAATCCTTTATCAATTAATTTGACAGAAAATTTAAAAGTAATCAAATAAACTATTTAACTGTTAAAGAAAGAGTAATATTAATTGTTTGTTACACGCGCCCATATTCGAATATTATTTCGGATACTCATAATAATAATTATTATTTTGGATACTCGTAATTATTTGAGTGCTTGTTATTTCAGATATTTGTATAAATTCTAACAGACTATTATTAATTTTTTCTTGTTCTTTAATTGATAAAGTTTCTTTTTGGACATCATCAATTTGATTGTTCATTTCAAGCTATATCAAAAAATTATTAATAAATTATATCATCATACAAATCAAACAATTACCATCATTTTTTATCAGGTGTAAGAATATTATGACATTTTAAAAATGGTTTATACAATTGAAGTATTAGGAAAATTTTTCTACAAATTCCATTTGAGTTTGAAAGAATTACTTTTTAAATGAAAATGTTTTCTGAATAAATATTTTAATTGTTGTAAAAATATATCATATCTTTATTATCTTTGAAACATGTTTGTTATATAGTAGGATAAGTTACAAATAAGTCAATACTATTTGTTATCAATCGATGAATTGTTACAATATTATCATAACAAATGTTTGAAATGATTATATTCAAAATAAATACAAGTATCCAAAATAATTACGAATATCCAAAAATAATTACGAGCATCCAAATAATTATGAGCATCCAAAATAATTACGAGTATCCAAGATAATTACGAAATAAATTATATATTCAAATATCCTTGAATAAATTGATTTTCGAATATTCGTAAAAAATTTGATTTTCGGATAGGAACACTAGTTTAAATAATTCTTTCGTTAGGTTTCACCCTAATTTAATATAATATTCCTTAAAAATAATCTAAAGCTTCCTTTTAAAAATAATTCCGAGTTCTTTTTAAAGTGAATAAATGATTTTAAATTCTTTCCTTTAATTAATATTAATTTATTGGTTCGTTATATTTATCGTGTAACATTAATTAAAATTGACGGGTCCTTTCTGATTTATTGTTATAAATAAATGGAATTATTGTTCATTTCTCCACACTATTCAATAAATCACAATAGATAATCAAGTCAAATTTTATATTTTATAAAAAATATTTATTTTTATATAATGTTATATCGTAATAATAAATTATTATCACCAGAAAGAGAAGAATATATATTTAAAATTTATTGTAAAATACGTGGTAATGCTTATGTTAATTCTGATAAAGAAAGTAGAAAAGATTATTTTTTTTCTTTGGCTGAAAAAAACAAGAGGCTTTCTGAAAATGAAAAAGAATATTGTAAAGAAAGGTATAATTATGAATTTGAATTATATAATGCAATGCATAAAAAAGGAAAATCAAAAGAATGTAACAAGTGTAAATTGACAAGATATTCTGATAGGTTCTGTGAAGGTTGTATTAGTTTACAATTACAAAATCTTTTCAATACTTGGACATCTGGAAATAATATAATTGATGATTTTATTCAACAATGTCAAATGAAATCATCTTTGCCATATAATATTTTAGAATGGATACCTTTTGAACAATTTAAAAAAGTAACAAAGTTAACTGAAGGTGG